ATGCATCGGGGAACTGTGTTACTATTTGCTTCGGTCGTTTCTTGAGCTAAATATAACCATTTTCGTTAATTCTTCGATAACAAAGAAAAAAGAATTATTTGAGTGTAAGCGACATTGTTCTACGATTGTATCATTTGAAAAGTAAAATTAATTTGTGTCGTTGTTAAGATTATTGTAATACGTAAATTAAAATCAGTTGAATGAGATACTTTAAAACACATTTTAAATAACCTTGTAAACATTATTTTCGCATAAATAATAAGTTATTTAAGGTAACATAATAATAAAGTTATTAATAAATTCACGGTATGAAACTTCATTTACTTTTCTGATTCTTGAAACTCGATAGCAAAGTACTTTTTCAGATGACAAAATAAACACTATGAACGGTACGGATTACACGCTCACCTGTGCGAATGAACGCCGCCTGCGCGTATGTACACCATGGCAACTTTGCTGAAGCCATTCTTGTGTGTCGCAGTTAACCTTAGACCAGTTACTCGTTCGCGTAGATTCAAGAGCGTTGCCTGGCATTTATTAGTACAGGTCATTGCTTGGAAGCTCTCTTGGTTCGTTAAAACACTGTTTACTCGCCTACAAGGTCGCGCAATTGCAAGAAAGCGGGAACTTTCGATATTCATTAGCGGTATTGGCCCGTGGAAAGGATGTGCGGGTCATTTTATGACCTTTCCATTAAAATGATTAACCGATACCCGGTGCCTTCGTAATTGGAAATGTTATTAAGCTTTCGTTAATTATTTCGTTGACTAATTTGTTAACCATTTCGTTGGTTAATTCGTTAATTACTTCGTTGATTATTTCGTTAATTATTTCATTGTACATTTTGACCTTTAACAACGTTTGCCAATAGTTCAGCGTATATACATACATCGCCTCTAACTTAATAACGAATAATGTCTAATTCAACTTTACTACAATCATCGTAGCTGAGTAATTGAAATATTTACTTAATTAATATTAAGTTTATTAAATGCGTCAATTTCGCGTGTATTGTTTTTAATAAATATTCTTTGGTAAACGTTTACATCGATTTCGATTGATGCTATTACGCGACTATGTTTCCTAATAATCCATTTCTAAACATTTAATTTCCAATATCTAAACGAACGAGAAATTTTTCTAGAAACAATAGAATGAACTGTACAATAAACGTCAGTAAACCTAACGTTGCTGTTGTTCTAGCCATGTCCATATGATGTCCTCTTTACAGAACATCATTAAGTAAATGTCCTCATTGCCAACGACAACATGTGCTCAAAAGCATCATAGAATCAACATATGGATTCAGATATTCAACAATACTGGTTGAATTCACTCTTGCCTTTTCGTATTCGACTTTCTTCGTCACTTGAAGTTGATTTTCAACAGGTAGAGCTTAGCTTTACTGGAACGTGCGAAATATGAGGTTAGACGCCTCGAGGATATGAAAGTCAAAATACTTGTTCGAGCGGCATTGAAGCGAATCAGATTCATATTTTAGCAGCGTTGATTTTTACTCGAAGAAGAAACATCGATTTTTGACGGTTTCAAGAGACGCTTTAAGCGCTCATTAAGCAAGTAACATTTAACATCTAACTTATTACCTCCCTGAAGTAGCCGAAGTATTAGAAGCTCCATTAATTAAAAGCACCATTCAGTCCACTTAATTAAACGATTACTCGCAAACTTTACGCTTCACGTGTAATACCGAAGCTCTCTGTAACACATTTTCAGTTGGTAGTTCGTTATTAACTCAATTAAAGCGAAATTATATCTCGCATAACCAATCCTTATGTCAAATTACGCCGTCAAACGAAAGCATGTTTGTATAATTGCTTTATGTAATCCCACAGCAGCGCCCTAATAGCATTTGGTGAACCGGGACACTGGAGCAACAGCTTATATTCGTTGTTTCCTGCTGTGAGCCAGCGATTCCGCGGCATTCGTCGAGATAATCATAATTATAATTTTCAAGTGTGCGCATTGATTGGTTCGTTAGCGAGGACGCTCCCTTTTCCGATACTAGAACAATCGGTCAAGTGCTTTTTATATGTCGTTACCGATGCTTCTCTCCAGAAGAAATTGAATTCTCCGCTCGTGCTCGAATACTTCGATCGTCGTGCGCCCGTGCAACCGCGAATCTGTAGAACTACTCTGTCTACGCGTTTGACGGATGCATATATGACGACGTTTCAAGACAACCTCATTGTCGGTGAAGTGTCATACTTGAATTGCGGCGAATTGATTTATTCAGGTAGCAGTCCGTTCAATAGAAAATCGCGGAACGTCGAAATCGTATTCACCAGCCCCGGCTTCAATTTCCGCGTGTATGTCTTCGATCTACGGGACTCGTTTAAAAGGCGCCGCCATTTTTTAAGCATGACAGCTTCCGCCTCCATCAAGCAAACGTGTGTGAATTCAACGTCCCTTTCGTCTTCGTCGTTGTATGTCGAGCAAACTGGGAGATACTTCGGTTCTCTTCGGTGAGAGGAGTTTGTAAAATTTGTCGTACCATATAGTTCTTAGAAAAGTTAGAAACATGAGTGAATTCTTTATTAGGATTTTTTGTTATGGAAGGAGTTTGTAAAATTTATCGTGCCACCTAGTTCTTGTGTATCATTATGTATTTCTTACAAATATATGCACGAATAGTAGTGATCACTTTTGGCTGTCATTTATGATTGTTAGGAACAACGTGAGTGAGTAAATATTCTTTATTCGGATTTTTTATGTTAAAGTGGAGTGTTTAATGCATTACTTCACAAAATCTGGAATTAATATAAAATACAGTTGAGTACGTTAAGCGTTTATGAAAATTGTTGGTTCATCGTTTCTTATACGTTTACTTACATCATAATTGCATATACTGAACTAAGGAATACTTGAGGGAAGATTAACGTCATTATTTACCACTTAAGACTTGTAATAGAAGAAATGTATTTTTGTACAAGAGAATCGTGAGATGTACGATTACATCTGCATTATCCTCTTAATTGTCCTTAAGATTCTAGGGCACTGTTGCAGTTATTATTGATTTGCTAGTCTTTGTGCTCGAACTTAATTGCTACCCGCAATGCATATTTCATTGTCATGAAATGTAAGCAATATCTAAACATCCATATAATGCTTGAGTAAATTTTACAGCTCTCAAGACTTTTTCTGTCGCAAAGAATCGAAGCTTTATAACCAATATAATGATGTACATAGAGAAAAGAACGTTTTCATTTAAACAAAAAAATAAACAATACTATAATATTAATTTCACAAATGCATCTTTTTATACTAATTTTTGTAGTAATATACTTCCTGAAACAATATCGAACACAGTGATTTTAATCAGTATTGGACATATATTCGTAAGTAATTAAATATTTCATATCGTGTTTAATATTTATTTTTAATTATATTTGTGCTTTTTCTTTACTCGGTGCAACTGTTATCAGAGAAAAGTCGAGCGGTATGCATTTCATTTAAATGGTACTTCATTACGAGTGAAAAGGAATGATCATCGTACCTAACGATATTAACCGCGAAACGAATCAAAGTGTAAAACATATCTATTTACGGGGCAATTTAAATCGCGAAGCAATGCAGAGAAGTTTACACAAACATAATTATTCCTTCATCCGCACAATTTGTCGTCTCTGCTATTTCACCCACAGGCTCATTCGCAGTCCCAATGAAATTACCCATCAGCCAGTTTACGTTAAAACAAATAAGTGGCATAACCCACTTTCGTTTTAATTATTTCGAAAGTCCTGACGGGCTGCGCGTGCTTGTAATCGAGAGCTGGCCGCGGTTTAATTTCATTTATGGACATGCTCCGGTTCGTACGCAGTTGATTCGAGTTGATTTAGCGAGATTAAGTGGCTCGCGAACTGTTAATATTGTCTACGAGCACATCCCTCTGATAGGTTCGCACAATTCGATTAGCTAAGGAATACCCAGGAGAAGAACTCGCGGTTGATGCTCGAGATAAATATTTTCTTACTAGGAAAATTGATTTCGTTTGACGATGCTCGGTCGTTTTAACACTTTGACTGCCACGCCACTCAAATTCGGGTGACACCATTTTTTACATAATCTTAAACATTCATTTTCTTGGTGATATATCGATCGAACCGAATTTGATTTGTAGATATAAGAGAGATAGCAGAGCAATCGCCACGAAGAATTTTCATTTCTTAGTTTCTGATTTATTAAAAAAACTGTTTCAACTGCATATGAGTTTAGATGAATGTTCAATTGGTAGTTAAAGTGTTAAACGAAAAAAAAACAATTAGCATCTACTTAATATCAATATACAATACATTTCGATTCTGAACGTTATTATAGACACCTCCAATGAACATATTTCTTACAACTATGAAATCAAAATAATGAAGTTTCGTTGATTTTCGAGATTGATTTTCAAATTCCTTCACCGTGTTTCCTTTTAAACTAGTTCATAGTTTCGCGTATTACGAATACTCAATACATATACGAGGATTACTTGTATTTCCAATATTATTCCTCCAAATTTTATTCGTTATTCTTATTTCTCCTTACATTTGTCTGATTTCTAAATCTCTTATTTATTTATCTAGATACCCTTACCCTAAATTATACTTTAACACACGTAGAAATTCAAACTAAATTACACCTATAGTCCTTACGAACTAAAACGCTTCAAATCATTATTGTTCCACAATATTTGTGTCAATTTGTCAAGAATTCAGCTGGTTAATATCAAAACCACCAAGCAGTTGAATTGACTATTTGAAATGTCTATAGAGTCTCCAAGAGTACATCTATTCAGACTTCAATTGATTTTCAATTCAGTTTGCGTATTAAATCAATTTCTTTAATAATTTCTCAATATCTGTTATCTTCTTAATAATTGCAAAAGGTAGAAATCAGAAATGGATCATTTTGATTCGTCTGGTAGTTTCAGTCTTAATAAATAAATATATCCACGATTCGTATATTCTCAATTGCCATGCGTCTGGTTTCTGTTACAGTGAAGAAGGCGCGGTTCGTCTGCGAGGAAGGTTCGTACCAACACGACCGGAAGGAGGAAGAAATCTAATCGGCGCGGGAACCAGAGAAAGGAACCACATCTGAGTTCCTTGGCTGGTCCTCGTAAAGCTAGCACGAGCGGGGCGCAGCATTCGTCCAGAATCTTCGAAAAGAGAAAGAAAAAAATGGCGGCGATCTGTCCCGATCGTTGTCCGACTGTCCCGAAAATTGGAATCGGACCGATATACTTTCATAAAACCGGCGCCTTTACTCACGCTCCAGTTCTGAGGTCCGCGCAAAATTTGTTGCACTCCGGTTGGAACCGTTCCAACCGAAAGGTTGTGTGACTCTTCAACCGGAATATCGTGATGTTCTGCTCATGCCGAAATTATTTTTCCGCGGCTGCGGCGGAGATCCTCGCGACAGGGTGACGTGACGAATACCAGTTCCGCGGAATCTTTTCCATTACCAGTGGCGTCTGGCGTGGCTTTGTCTTGAAACACGCGAGGACTGCTTCGAACCCTGTTTTTCTCGGAGACAGATAACTTTGAATTCTTCGTTGGATTAACCCATTTGCATCATTAGCAAATATTTACGTTCTAAGACTAGATTGTCAATGAATAGTGTAATTAATGTTACCATATTATTATTATGATTATTGTTATTATCATTACTACTGTTATTTACTATATTATTATGATGTTATATTAAGATTTAAGTACTACATTAATCATTCGACTAAAATTTAAAAAAATTTGGAAATAATGGAAAACTTTTTATTTTGTCATATAATGCAAGTGGGTTAAGTTTCATGGTATATTGGAAAAATTTAACTGATTTTTCTATAACACTAGAACTAACATACTAGTTACAATGACTGGTTTCAGTGTTCTTATTTTCTAATTATTGATATCATAAAAGTGTTAAATATCCAAAACTAAACTATAATTTTAAACTATAATTCCACAATTTTTAGTTCGTCAATTGACATTTATTTTTTTTATTCGATCTATTCATAGATTATTCGTTTTGTTGATTTAGGATATGTAAATATTATTCGTATGGAACAGTTTATTAAGGAATCTTCAGATCTTAATCGTTGGGTTTTAAAAGACTTTGAAACAGGAAAACCGTTGAGTTTGTTCGCAATAATGATTAAAAAATAGATTACAATTATTTTTCGCTGTTCATTTTAACTTATATTCACGAAAGCTTAAAAAAAGTGTTTGGAAACGTTAACTTTCATTGTCGGTTTCATCATTCGCCGAAAAACTTTCCGGCACCACCAAGCGGAAAGCTCGGCCGATTACTCAAACTAGTGCAAAGACATTACTGCACTTTTTACCGGACTTATTTTAAAAAAGAACTTTAAACGTTCTTACAATCACCGGAAACGTTGATATGAATCTTAAAACGTTCGCTTTACGCGTGTCACGCGACTCGTTGAAAGCATTCCAACCTAAACGTGACGTTCCAAACGCGTCTAAATTTATTATACCAAGTATAAAATGTACCGATTTGCATTCAACAATTTCTCACTTACTTGTGTCACGTTGCCACCCGTTTCCTGCCAGCATACATCGATCGAAAATAATTTTTATTTCTTCCGCTCTTTGTTGAATTAAAAAAAAACTGGAGATGTTTGCAAAGCTACGAGCAGGAAACCAGAGAAAATCAAAAGGGAAACATACAAAAGGAAGCTTAAAAATCTCTCAGAGCTATTCAACTGGTAAAAGGAAACGACAACAATTTATTTCTTCCCGCCGTAAATGTGCAACTGACTCCTCAATGCAACTAATCTGCGCTTTTCCGTGCAACGTCTTGCCTCGCTTCTCCTATTCTTGGGTACACCACCAAGTAGCTACGGTTCGAGAGCTTGGTCCCTGCTTGCAATTAACACTAGACTTACGGACATTTATTATGCAGTTTATTTCACTGTTACTAGAACAATTGATGTTCGTTTATTTAGATCTCGAGTATTACGGGTCCAAAAGTAGACAATCAGGATACGTATGCGTGTAATTGCATCAATAAAAATCAACGTAAACAGTTAACAGATAATGTTTATAAAATTCAATGTGTGTCAAATTAACGCGTTCCATAAACCTAATGTTTAAGCATCTGAACGCGCATAAAAGATTACGCGCATTACAGATACTCGACAACGGAGGTGTACGCAGATCTGATTATTTCGGTTTTTTTTCGCATCTTGCCGTAAAGGATATCTCGTCAATTGCCTACCACAAGTTAACACTCTTCATTTTCGTACTTTTTCGTTACATTCTTTATTGTGTCCACTGGTTCGCTAATCCGTCATACACGAAAGCAAAATTAACTATTTATTACTTACACGATGCCCGGGTCCCATAGCGTTGAATTATTCAACAGGCGATAAACCTGCACCGTTGAGAGCTGACTTTTCTATGGGATGTTAGCGTTTAAACTTCCCAGACCCTGGTCATTTTCTGTCATGTCATGACGGTTTACTTTGCGTTGTTCCAGGCGGCTCCGATCTGACAGATAAAAGCTCCGAGACCTTCCAGTAACTTTGTATTCGCGTTGCGCGTCTTTTTGCAGCCTGCGAACGACGCCACGTGTGCCAGCCACGCCGACTATACGCGAATCATTATTCTCCGTGAACGTCGACCGCGAAAAACGGCTACAGGATTCAACGTATCACAGTCAGCGTTTTCCGTATGCTCCTCGACGTCACTGCTCAAAGAAACGCGAAATTCTCGCCACACTCGTAATCGTAGATTCGAATCCTTTCGGTTCTTGTAAATCTATACTACGTTTCGCTATTGCCCTCTCTTCGTGAGTAATGGATACAGAACGAACTCATTTTTATACTTATCGTTACCGTAGGGTAAAGCGAAGAGAAATGGCACACCTTTTTAAAAAGAATTATTACATCATAAATATTATTGACACCTAACGAAAATAAAATGCATTTATAAGAGGAATAGTTAAACAGGTCTCTGCACAAAATTCAATATACCATTTAAAAAAATTGGAAATATTTGACGATTTTAATCAGATTTTATAGATGAAAGCGTGAATACAAACGAAAATATATTGAACTTTGCAATTTAATATTTACGGTTTCTTGAAAATTAGTTGGTACATTTTCTTATTCACTGAATGTTCATTATCTGCTTTTGAATTTCTTGGCTTATTTTAATGCTTTAAAACTGCAATCTTGCTGAATTAAGGATTTTTTCATTAATTACAGTTACACTCTTTCTTAGTATATTCGAATTACACGAATTATATATCTGAATCGTTCGGTACATTTCACTTCCCCTGTGAAACTGAATTACCACAATTTACGGGCCCATGAATAATTGTTCGGAGTATCGCGAAGACAGGCAATATATCACCGGAGTCGGACCGGAGTGTTCTTTATTCGCGACAACGTGCACCCGGAAATGCAACAAGACTTCAGTCGCGTCGGGGTAAGGCTGTAATAAGTGTTTTAATTACACGGAATGAGTCCTGGCTCACGGCTGTACGTTCCAATTAAACGGCAGTTTTCGTGATTGTTGTTAATAACTCCCTTTGCCAGCCGGTGCGTTAACTGCATTTAAATATTCATCGATAATTGAAATATCTTCATTTTACGAAACGAATTGTTCCTGATAACCATATTTCTCAGTAAAGCAGACATTTCGCACCTGCATATTAATTATTCGAATTCGTTACTATTATAAATTAAATACAGCGCACTGTTCGATCGTTATGACGTAATTATTTTTCCCGAAAAGTATACGACCTCCATTTCTTTACGAGAAACTCCGATTCATAATTTTCCGTTTATTGCGCAGATCCGTTTTGTTTTGAAGACAAACCTACAAGTAGTTAATTAATCCAGCAGACATCTTTTCGGTCGATCGAGCAACGTTTCCCACGAGAAAATTCAGAGGTCGGTGCTGTTGTGGAGTCTCTATTTGCCGGAACAATTTTGTCGAGCGTAAAGCAAAATACCGGAGGTGACGCGTACTATGTGAAGCATATCCGGGCATCGTAAGACCGCGTTCGATCTTTCCCTGTGAGTTATAGAGGGCGAGCTTTCGAACGGTACATTTCACGGCAGCGACTCCTTCGAGATAACATAATTCAACTTTTTATCGATTGAAATATAATTATCGGCTATTATTCAGATACCAGCTGAAGTTCAGTGAAGAAATGTTTAAAAAATTGCAAATTTTTATCTTCATTTTGATTGATTTCTAGAATCTAGAATACTGTAATCAAATTCCATATTCCGATTAATATACATAGTAAAGCGAACTGTCTAACTTCCGGTAAAACGAAAATTACAGTTGATACTAAAGTTTCTTACCATTTACCATTAACAAACATTTCTTTTCAACTTGAAAGATCTATGCCGTCAAACTGCAAAGTAAACAGACAATTTTAAATTCTCAAGCTTTAAATGAAACTATTCTTGTTTTATCCGTAGTTACGTACTAAATGTTTCTACTACCAATACTTCATTAATTGTTTGAATATCACGGGTCTTCGCAAAAATCTAGTTAAAAAGTGCCAAACGATGTGACTTTTTGTTTCAGCTCAAAAACTGAATTACTTTTTTAGTGTCACATAAAAAGATTCTAAATAGAACGATCAATTCATTTTTGCATTTCTAAGCAGATGATAGGAAAGATAAAAATAAATAACTAAGAAGGAAACAAATAATTAAACTCAGTTTAATCCTTTGAACCGATAAGCTAGCTCTTTTGAGTAGTGTAACGGAGAAGAGCGATCGCTCTGATTGGAACTAAAACGGTTAAACGCTTAAATTACTTTACACACTCACCCGCGTTCTCGAAGAAATGATTTCACTCAAACAAATTAAAATTTCCTTCGAATTTATGTCAAAGAGGTAAAATGAATTAGCAGGAGTCGCTGCTGCGAGTAAAACTACCCAGTGGACGCAAACTTGTGGACAACTTACTATCCAATAGTCGTCGGTAGAATCCCCTAGAGTAAAATTCCAGGAAGTCCATTCGAAAGTGGATGTCAAGCGTAAAAACTGCTTTCGAGAGTTACTATCGCGTAGACAAGTAGCGCGAGGGAAGATCGAACGGGAGACTTTAGCGAGGGTTTCCATCCGATGTACCGTTATTTGCGAGTGATTCTTACCGTTCGTACGAAGAAAATCTGTAAAATGACCGGCAATAATCATTTGATCATCGTCCGCGGGTTTACGGACCCTCGCGGTTCTACTAAGTCGCTTTTTAACTCTTTGAACGTCAAACGATTTTCTTCGATAGGTGTTAAAAATGCAAATATATTAACCCTTTGTTCTATAACATTGAGTCAGACTCCTGATGAAAGGAGGGTGTTAAAAATAAGCGACTTTGGGCGACCTCCGGAACGAAAAATGTTGTTTCAGCATGATTCTTCACAGCCTAAGGAACAAAAAATGTAAGTTCGTTATTCCGAGATACGAAATATATTAGGTTGTCTCATAAGTTCGTATCGATTATTTCTCCACCATATGAAATAATATCGCTTTCGAATACCTTCTACCGATTAAACCGAAGCGAATAAATCGAAGCGATTAAACCGAATTGTTGATTGGTCACGAGCTAATTAGAGTTTGCACTTGCATTAGCTATTTCAATTTTTGAACCACAGGGCAATATAGAATATTGCAAAAGCAAAATATTCAAAATTATCTAAAAGATATGTTTAAAGTTTCATTTCAATTCATTATGTACAAATAATTATATATTTAATTACAGAATAGGTGACGTGGGATAGCTTCTGTGTAAACAAACTTGTGGGAGAACCCAATATATTCGCGAAATTTCTCGAGATAATGGAACTTACGTTTTTTGTTCCTTAGAGTGTGAAGAATCGTGCTGTAACAGAATCTTTTGTTACGGAGGTTGCCCAATGTCGCCTACTTTTAACAGACTCTTTTTATTACAAATCTAACTCGATGTTATAGAACAAGAGGTTAAGGTGCACGAATAACAGCGAAAGTCTGCTGGCATCCCCTGTAAATTGAGGAACGATCGCAGATCCTTCGAGAAATGTTACCGTTATATACGCGCTGTCTCGTCTCTTATCGATTCGACGACATCGGCTGATAAATGTTCCCCGGCGACACAGTTTGTTAGACTAGTCAAGTCGGGCCGGGCTTCCAGGGATTATTGGGAAATATTTTCGACGATAATTGTCCGCTTCCGTCTAATTATGTATGGAAGAATACTCGAGGCTGCTGGAACTCTCCATAAATAACGTTTAATTGTCCCCAGAAACAGCGTCACGTCACGTGTACGTCGGATCCTGCGAACGTTTCGTCGGTTCGGCAACATTTTGCCGGTTTATTTGTTTTTCTTTCTTTTTTCCGAGATCGACGCATTCGAAACGCGCGACAACGTATGCGATAATTAAAATATTTTTTAATTAAAACCACGCAACTGGAGCAACCCACGCGCTGTAACTATAATTTCGTTCGGATGTATCAATTAATGATTTGACGTATGGCCTGCTCGACGATTTTTATTTATTTCCTTCGAATGGGGCGCTCTGAAGTATTTGTCAATGGATTATTATTCGAATTATCTTGACAGCGTTGAATGTTGGGCGTTTTGAAATCGTTTTAAAGTTACGATTGGTTTAGTTACAAAAGGCAGATGTTGCTTCAATCACGTCACAATTGTAAATGTCACAGTTACAAATATGACGACGATAATTCACGAACAAGGCGTATTGAGAACATCAAAGTCTACATGATCCAGAGTTTTATTGAAAAACGGTTGTTCAATATATGAAAATTACTTCCGAGAGTTCGTAAAAACATGAACAAATTAAAAACATTGTTTACTTTCAATATTTAATAATGAAATTGATATGAAATTCGGCGTTGATGTTAGGAATATATCTATACCGATGAAAAATTGCGAAAAAATGTGGTACAGTTTTAAAAAATATTATTTCTTAAAATGTAATTGAAGTTAACTAATTCAAATGCTCACATTTTGTTAAAATTTACTGAAACTTTCATTTTACTCAGATTTGTGCGTTAAAAAATACAATACTTCAAACGCATAAACTTCAGAAACTAGTTAATTACAGAGACAATATGAAAATGTAATAGAAGTACAACTAATAGAAAGTAGAAAGTGTGCAGAAGTAGGTTACTTCGATACTGATTGTCTTTTTTAATAATTCCCAGTAATCCGAGTATGTTGAAAAAATACAGGACGTACACGTGGATATTAACATTTCTCCGAGAGGAGACAGGAAAAGTTTAAGTTTTATGGTAAAAGAAATCGTAACTGCGCGAACTTAGTAGAATCTCGTTAAGAAAACTGACTTTTCATCCGGTTCCGCTTTCTATGGATACTAGCGTAGCCGTGATCGCTTTAATTAAGGAGCGCCATGCGCGCGGAAATATCAAAGATACTCGGCATTCGTGTTCCATTCAAAGGTGACAATCAGCCCACGCGGAAGAGTCAAATTCCCGGCCGCGTTGGCAAACTACCGTAACCTATTCCTGTCGGAGTAACATTTAATTTTACCGGTCGTGCAGAATAAATTCCAGTTTATCCGATCGTAAATAATTTTTTACCGCCGTGTGGCTAATGCTACATCGCTGCCTCGTAGCTCCTGGCTGACGGTGAGTTGCGTATTCATCGACGTCGACAGTTTCATTTCGTGTCGGACTGACTTCTTTTACGGGTTTGGCATGTGTATGTGATTTTCCTCACCCCCGTGATGAGTCGAACCTAAGTGCTCTAGCGATTTTTGACCGACGTGCTGCGAGACTTTCAGATGAGAGTATTTAACCTATTAACTGTGAAATTTAGTTTAAAAAATCAAACAGAGGGCAAACGCATCTATAATATATTCTCACGAAAACCTAAAGCAAAACAAAGAAGAATGAATGGAACTGAAAAAATAGATAATTGATCGTTGAAAAAATTAATATCATTTTGGGTTTTAAGATGACGTATACATTCGTCGAACGTAGTTAATTGGTTAAGAATTTTGATGTTGCCTGTTTTACACAAATGTGTGCATTAATTTTGTTTATTAATCATTTTATATTGGGTGATACATTTCTAAATAATCTAGTATATGTAATGTAACAAAATTATCGATGTGTATAAGACATTATTGGCAATTTTGGAACAAATACATCTCGACGCGCGTGGCACGCCTTTCCAGTGCAAGAGATTAATTCAGCAGCCAATATCTTAACGTTGTTCACCAAAATTACATAAGTAGAAACGATTTTCTCGATAGAACGGAAACTGGAACGTCAACATCTGTTATCTTTAATGTTCTAATTTCGTGTTTCGTAGATCTAACAAGATTCAGTTCGTTCGATGTATTACAGAGGAAGTTAATTTTTTACTTTATACAGGAAGTCGTGTCACCTGAATTCACATTGGCACGGTGAGAATTTTTGTAGCTATCCAATTCTAATTACTGATTCGCAATGCGTATACGTTAAAATTGTTGATTATGCTTAATAATTCATCTATCGTAAGCCAGTAAGTCACTCCAATTGCTGGGTAGTTTTAATGTTAAAACAAAAGAAATGAAAACGACAAAACGAGGTTCTCTTACACTTTGATTTTAAAGTTACAGAGCTTTGCAAGTAAAAACATATACTCCTGCGTCTTAGCGAAAATCATATTATCAACTAGTAAGTGGTTACCCTGATCAGGAGCGGTATATGAAGAGTTAATAATACATTCAACAATAAAGTTTAATTCATTCATGCTTGTTATAATACTTTAACGAATACTATAACTGTGCCGGGAAAGCAAAACTTTGAAAGTCGCCGTACTGAGACATGATCACAGCTGCGCCTCGCTCGCGAAAAGCGTAACAATCAGCAGAATCACGACTGAACCGATCCCTGCAACAATTTCCAGCGGGCCAGTTCAACTCCTACGTAACACTGAAGCTGCAGAACGTCAAGTCAACGACAGTCACTGTGAAAGGGGCCAATCCATGCTGGGAGCAAGACTTTCTTTTGTAAGTATACATTTTGCGGGAACCATTGTACGCGCCCAAGGAGGAGCGATTTCGCGATGGAGAAATGATGGAGGATCATTCGCCAAAGTTTGAAGAACTTCTCCATGATTTTTTCTCGCGTATTGAAGCCTCGAGACCGATGAGAAAACTGAAAACCTTGATCCTCGATCGATGATCGCGTACCTGTGCCTCAATTTACGCGGTAAATTAGAACACTATTTATGCGGTAGTTTTTATGCGTGATCTTCATTTACGCAATCTGAGTATAGTAACACCAATGAAAATGTAGTTTTGTTTTCTGAAATGTCCTTATTATTATTTCTTTTGTTTGACAATGTGAAATTATATGTCATTATTACTACTTCTTTTGTTTGGCTACGCGAAACAAACATGTATTTCCAAAACTTACACTAGTTTCGGTTTCCAATATTTTGTTTTCTCTTGCCCCGATAGACCGTAAGTGATTTTCGCGTAAAACGAATTCACGTGGAACGGATTTTCACGTAAATTGAGGGTCAGGTATAATATGTAAAGGCAGAATGGGAGAAAAACATTTTAATTTTCAAATTGGAATTTTGAATTCGCAGCTCACTGTCGAGGTACATCCCCGTGTCCGATTTCATGTTGCATGGAAAGTTTCTGTCCAACTAGGTAATGCCGAGTGGCCGTTGTTGAATAAAAATGACTGGGGTCGGGGAAATTGTCGGAGGGCAGAGTTGCGCGCGTTTATCGGGACACGTTCATTACTGAGTTTGCGTGAAGGCTCAGAAACGCGGAGTTTCGCGATTGACTATCGAACCCCCTTAAGAGGTAATCCGATCCATAGCTGATATATAAATAGGTGCTTAGCTAGCAGAATGGGATAGCGCGTTCACGGCGCGACGCGACGTCGCGATTAGCTAATTACTAGTAATGTTTCGTGTTTTAATCTTTTTTTTCCCTTATCCCCCTGATATTTTCCGCTACTCTCGTGGATATCGATTTACCCGGTTGTTCGCATCGCCGACGAAAGTGGTCTCACTTTTTTGCCTCGGGGTATAATTACGTACTTAATAATAATTTCGTCGATGACCTTTTAATTGCGACACGCGCAGCGTTGATCTTGTTGATACGGTGCCACTGGATGTTCGATATCGTTTGTTCAGTTTTCATGTCGGTGAAACGGGATTGTTTCTGAAGCAACGTTATTGTTTGATGAAATTGGGAATTGAAAGTTTTGACTGTTTTACGATGTTATTTCAATTCGAATATCTTAATTTTCTTTTAAAACACAATGGCATCTATCTTATTGTAATTTTTCGGAATAATTTGAGCGTCGGTTTTTATATTCAGAATTTCTTGACACTGAGGGTTTGTTCATTTCTTGTTGCTTCGATTCGAGTACATTAGTTTTTATTTAAAACTCCGTGGCATTTGGCTTATTATTATTTTTCGAAATATTTTGAATATCCTTATTCCTGTTCAGAATTTCTTTGCACCGTGTATTTGTTTATTTCTTGTTATTTTGATTCGATTTGCAGCACCAGTTCATTATAAAGTCATAATTGTATTATATCTTACAGTTTTTAATATTTGTACTGGAAATATGCGCGTTGGTCTACGAACAATAACTGTCGCGAGTCCATGTTTCATCAGCAGACGATTAATTTTATCCCGGACGACATTTTTAATCACACTCGAGCGTTCTCTGTGCTATAAGGAAAAATAAGAGCGCGTCATGTGCTCGAGATGAAGAACATGCTATTGATCGAGGCCGGGAAATATATAAGGAGGACAATCGCGGGAATCGCGACGGAAGAAAATAGGAGAATTTTGGATCTTAGCTTTCTGAAATATCCCTACTGGCGCCGCTAAATCCTCACTTGCCAAGTTGCGAACCTTTAACCTACTTTTCCTTTGACGAGCAGCTACGTGTGCCAGTGCCGCTTTTAAATCGTATTTATTTAACTTCCGTGACGAAATAGCTGCCTAAAAATACGAAACGCGGGGATGTACCGATCAATTTCTCTCTATTTAGAATATTCGCATCAACTATGCAAATTCTGACACGTATGTATCCCCCATCGCGGTCAATTGTCAACATACGTTCTTAAAATAGACACAAATTTTACAGTAGAATAGTAACATCGAGTATAAACTATAGAAAACCCACAAGTAGATGTCCCTGTTTTCAGAACGTAATCGTTTTATATGGTAAATGACGAGAAATTTAAACGAACTATAAAATATTAAACATATATGACTAGTTGTTAGAAATATAATTATAATTATTTAAATTTATAAATTACCAGATAAATTTGCCGTTTGCTTCGGAAACAAGAAACAAGAAAGCTTCATGAATTATTGTCCTTTTACAAAAAATTAGCTCTTTCTTGTTACAACATGTTCATAAATACCGTAGAAGTGAAAGTTTCGAAAATGAAAAAAGAAATGCTTTCCAACTAAATTATCAATATTGTCCTTCCATCATATTTCTCTCTCCCATTTCTTTCAATTTAAATTTAATCACGTTCGGAAAGCAAAGAATCTCCTCGATTTCCCTCTATAAATAATATACATATTTCACTCAAATTAGAAAAACAAACTTATTTATTTCCCAAATGAATCACTCTGTTTAAACTCGTCCCCCAAACCCCATTAACTTCTTTAGTTTGCAGAAGTCAGTCGAAGGTTGACGAAATGTTACGAGAAGCATCTCACGTCGCACTCGAGGCTCCATATTCTTTGCGCAAACATAATATGGTTCGACGTGCCTTATGTATAACTCGAGTGAACCCATCACGTTGTCTAATAGAATTCGAAACGACCCGTGCCGTAACATTTCGCCGGCCGATTTCAATCGATCGTTCTCGCATAAAATGAAACGTCCGATCTGTTTGCTGTCTAGCGAAACGAACGACATGAACACGGGCCTTCTGGTCGAGGTCTGGTGCAAGGGTCTGCTATGGGATCGTTTCCTGGGTTACTACTACGTCCCACTATCGGAAGTGTCCTACATGAACGAGGTAACGTCTAAGCAGTCCTACAATGCATCCAGCATGGTATCGTCAGGCCAACAAGAACAACAAGAACAACAGCAACAGCAACATATAAACCCCGACAGCATGCGCGACACGAACAGCAATACACAGGCACCAGATATCACCAACACGGTACACTAATTGATACACGCACCTATCTAGAATCTCTGTCTTAGCGTTCAACCCCTTTACAGATTAATTTCGACTATGCATTCAACCGCGTTCCCATACTTTCGAACGTTCCCGGGTAAAGTCTCGATTATCCCCACCGACAAGAGGGATTTCTATTATTCAGGGGACGTCGATTAAGCAATCCCGATATTCCGTACACGTGGCACGCTTATCGTGATAGACCGAACCTATCGTCCACGTTCGCGTTGAATACATTAGGCCACCCCTTGTTTCCTGTTCCGATGCGGTTGACATTAAATTGATAAAGAGGAATGAATACAGGAAACCGATGGGGTCACCGAACGGTACTTTTATTGAGTTGTAGTCGGAGAGAAGTATACCCTAGATGATGGATTGCTTGTAAGGGAAGGAACTTGACTGGCGATCTTCGACTTTAATAGGTTTTTGTACGCGTTCCTAATGACGTATCTGTAATATTCGGTGTAGATTTTTGGTAACTTTAGAGATACAATGAATTAAGTAACTTGTTATTGTGAATAGTAATTTGTATCATTTACTTTCAATGTTTGAGGTAATTGGTTATTTTGATTTCTGATTCACTTAAAATTATTATTAAAGCAGTTTAAGGTTTATTGAAGTATTTTCCGCTAATAATATATTCCAGTCAAATTCACCTAAAAACGTAAACAGATGGAAAGGTTTTAATAGAAAATGTGTTTAAAGAACTGTTTAGTTTCAGAAACGACCAGATACACGTAGAACTATACTTTAAATCAAAATTTGATTTCTTCTTATCTCAAAATGCTAGATAAGAGCTCAAAGGAATAATGAATCTCTATCAGAGACAGGATCTGATCGAGAAATAGATACGCGCAGTTTAAGCGTTTCGAAGGAACTGTATCTTACAGTCAATTTGGATTTAGTTCTAAGCAACTATAAAACGCGAGTACGCACGTTGGTAAACGGTTTCATATTCCGCTGGTAATACGATACACCAGAGGACAATGATGACGAAGTTCAGCGAGAAGGTGCACTGTTATTGCAAAAAAGAGATAGATAGCCGCAACGTTTTATGAGGGAAAAATCTCGTTAAAGATATTAACGCATTACGTACCGGCTAATTATCAGAAAACTAAATTTTCAGTGAGATCCATTTATATCACTATATATAAAAAGCTCAAATATCATATTGTTATATAATCTATTTTATGGACAATTAACTCTAACCGAATTTAATATTTTTTAAAATGCTCTGATAATTAGCAAAGTCATATAGCTAAGTGACTTCATATAAAAACGAGATTTCTCGTTACCAGTATGCAATGTGTTAAGAGGCATTTTAAATTGATTCGTAATGGTTCTCTCGAAACTTCATTCCCGCCACGTCACGTGGGTAGTGAACGGACTGCGCGCGCAGCATAGTCCCGTCATGGCATGGTTAAGCTACGGAAATTCTGAACTCGTTCCACGAAATCGAACATAAAATTTGAAATCACTGAAGATGTGTGTTAATATAATAATATCAGAAGATTATGTGTATTTGATGAATAAGTGTAACATGTTTGTGCACTTCAAGAATGCAGTTTGGAAATATATTTTTTGGTTGTATGGAACTTTAACGGTGGTCCTATAGATCAACTCCGGGTGAGACTTAATAACTTCAAAAAATATTATATTTTCATATGATTTCACAGAAAATAATTTTACTTCTAAGTAATATACATACACTTTAAAGTTTTCTATAATGCTTTAGAAGGATTACGTTATTTTTTAATACATACTAAAATTTATAGGTATTTTCTACAACGATGTTAATTTTGTAGTTGAAAGAAGTTACTACATAATTCAATATAAATAGTCTCGATTTAAAAAATCAAAACGTCATTATCAATTCTCGGATTTAAAGTAAAATATTCATCGTCCTATTGGGAACATTTTGTGTTTCTTTTGTTGAAATTTGAGTACTTTTGGGAAATTTTTTAAAGAAGTAATACAAATATACCTTCAGCTGTTTCTTTTCAAGACCTATAAAAGTGTAAATTAGGTCAATTTCCTTTTTATTTCAAATATGTATTTACAACATTTCGAGGCAATAAAAGAAATATTAAAAGTAAACGATATTATAGCACAAAAGATGAGAAAATCAGCAATTTAAATTTATTTTTAGTGTAAGTACCGTTATTTAATGTAAAAACGTTCATATTCCAAAAGTTTCCTTTCTCTTCATGAACGCAAAATCGATTCAGCGCGGGTAAACAAGAACATTTGGAACTAAGGCCAACCATATTTTTAGTTCATTCAAATAAAATACTGTTTTCAAATTTATCGCGACGAACAAGATGTTTACTTTGTTTTCGTAGTTATGTTAGCGATTTGAAGTAATATACATTCTTTACCATTTTATATGTTATTCTATCCAGCATTGGTGTTTATCTCTTGCGTCAGCTGAAAACAGTCGGCGCACAAAACTAGCGCTAAAAGCGTCATGAACTTTTTGTCTCGAATGAAAATTGACGACCACACCCCTTCGTTCATTCGTTTCTCAACAGTTTCATCGTAAATAGTACTGGATCGCGCTTCATTGAGCTCGAGTTTCTAAGAGAGAACAAAAAGTGTAGTAAAATAGGGATGTGGAAAATACGATGCTGCGGTGATATTTAAACGGATCCTGTTTCAAACCCATCGTTTACGGGGTTTGTGGAGAAAAGTGGCGTACGTTTGACGTTAAAAAATAGAGATAGTTAATTGGGATATTTTTTTTCGGGCAAAGGAAATATTGCTACTAATATGGTTACTTGACACTAGGTTTTCGGACGTTTACTGTACGGTTTATACTATTATTCCTAGTAAATTGATGTTCGTTCATTTGGAGCTTGGAAATTAGGAATTTACGAATGGACTATTAACCCCTTGCTTTATAATATCATGTCTGACTCGTAATGAAGAATTCAAATGAAATCTAACAAACATAAATATTATTCAGTTCTTTTGAATTTTACTTAAACATTATTCTTGTTTTATCAATTATTATACTTTAAAGTAAACATGAACATAAAATATACTTGTAACTTTTCTCTCTTTTCAATAAATTACTAATGGTAAAATAGTTATATCTATCACAGTTAAGAAAGAAATCGTAGGGCAAAGGTTTAAGATACATAATCGTGTGATTATATCAATCAAAAACGACATGAACATTTACCAAGTAACGTTTATAATGTTCAATATGCAGAAGTCATTGATGACTACCATCCGATTCATCGATAGTATCATGGTGGTTGAATATGTTTGAGAACATAAAATATATTTGTTATCTTTCCTATACCAAACATGAAACTACATAAATCGGCTACAACAATCGTACAAAATATTACAAATGCCAACTTCGAAGTAATCTAATAACTTTCGACAAAGAGGAAAAATTTACAGTTTCCTAATTTTAAAATAATTTTGTTATATAATGTAGTAAACAGAATGCTTTATATTTCATAATGAGGATAATTAAAATAGCTGAAAGTTTCAACAAACATTAGAGTTTATCTCAGGAAAAAATTTAATTTCTATAAGTTAAAAAAATTGTTTTTATAAGTCCAAACAATAGTTTTATAAATACCACATTACACTCTGGTAACAGAAAAGTATCTATGGGATCTAATAGTTACAGCTACTATTACGAATAGGTATTAGAGGTATTATCGGAAATAATAGGTTGCATCACACTGTCACTCTGTCTCATATTACCACTCCAACCCCTAATAATAATCTTGCGGTTTTACCACGCGTTGAATGACAATGAGAGCATGCAGTTTTACAGTGTTAACATTTATATGTACACGTTAACATTTATAACATAGTTAAAAAGTATTACTTTCGTTAATTAATATTCTACTGACTGATAAACTGACGAAGCCATTTCAAAATATTGTGAAGTTTCGCTATGAGAGCAGACCTTGAAGTATAAAAAGGCTTGCATTGGGAGGGAAAGCGTCGAAGACATGAAACGGTATTAATAAAATATTATATAATCTCTTAACGTTCTTTATCGAACATTTGATCGCGTCTGGCTTTAAACTGTGTAATTTGCGCTTATCACTCGTGGCTGTTGCCGTCAACACGTGAACATTACCACCGCATTTTCTTTTTTGTTACGTTGGTCGTTTATCTGATAACCTAGCGCATTCCGCGTGACCTTACCGGCAGAAAAATTTCTGCACAACAGATTTTATAAAACGCGGATGTAAATTCGCGGTTGACTTCGCTGCATGAAATTAATAAGAAAAGTTCGAATAAATGTTTTGCACTCTCTAACCTCGTTTTCGAATTAGGCCATTCCAGACCCTTCGTGCCTGTCGCTTTAAATTTAACGATCCCGTTTCATATTTTCTTAACGTCTACATGGAATACTTAGTTAGATTATGTAATTTACGTAACGCGAATATGCACTTCTTTTTGAAGTTTAAATTTTAAGTCATCTTAAGTTATTTATTTACATCAATGACTAAGTTCGGGTTCTACTGGATTTAGCGATCTGGAGTATCTATAAAAAATAAGTCCTCAATTTTTTCAACATAAACAGAAAATAATTCGTCTCTCCCAATTTAATTTTGCTTTTTTCCTTTGTTCCACTTCAATTCCGTTCATTTGTCTTCTTCCTTTTGACTTTTATAACATCCAACCACCAATATGCTCTTAACGATTAAAAATTAATTCATTAGCAATTACTGTTGAACGGACATTTCACCAGCACTCACCATACTTTCACATAAGCATCATTATAAACCACTGTCAACATTGAAATTATCATATTTTCTCACGATCAATAGTCTGCCAGTTAAAAACTATATAGCAATGAAATGACATACTTTAATTTCATCAATAACCTCTTGCCGTATAATTTCTTTCATAACTGTTTTCCTTAGAACCACTTTGTCATTAACCTTCTAGCTACTGTATGCCACTATCATCTCTTCGAACGATACACAACTGTAGCGGCACAATTCTTTCTCTAT